GGAGGGAGGGCGTGGGGGGGGATGCCGCTGCTGCCCCTGCCCCCCCTCTCCAGGGGGGCCCCTCCTCCTCGGGCCCCAGCTCAGAGCCTCCGAGTCCGGAGTTGGCCGCGATGGCCAGAGGTCCCGAGCAGTCTGCGTGGTCGGCCCACGGCCACATGCTGCTCGAGCTTAGGGTAGCGGCTGAAGGCCAGCCGCCTATCCTTTCTTGCTCGACCCTCGGAGGAATGCGACTGTGCCGCCAGGCTCCAGAGGGCCCCGCAAGTCTTGCCTGGGCTCCCAGCATGCCTCCGTGGACCCTGGCAGGAAGAACTCCAGAGCTGTGTTGAAGGGGAAGCACCCCAACGGACCCCTCAAGCTGGACCCCTGGAGGACTCCTGGGGGCGAGGCTCGGGAGCTTGTTGAGGGTTTCGAGGGCTCCAGGAGCCCAGCAACGAGGATGTGTTCCAGGGCCCTTCGAGGGCCGAGTTCCTCTCGTCGGCTTGGCGGGCTGCCTCCAGGCCTTTGGGCCCGACCCAGCTGAAACCATGGCCCTTGGAGAGCGCTTGGACCGCGACTTCGCCGATGAGCACGGTGCAGAGTCCGACTGTTAGTTTGCTCATCAAAGGGGGGGGGGCCGTGTCGCTGGCCCCTGGCTGGGGCGGTGGCCTGCCAGGGAGACCAAAAGGTCTCCTCGGATGGGCGTTTTTCGGACTGAGCCTCCCTCTCTTTCCCCGCAGTGGCGTGCGGTCCTCCCCCTCCCCCCTCCTTCCCCTCCTCCTCCGCCCTCCTGGAATCGCAGGCCCTGCTCCTGCCTCAGCTGCCGCGACGCGTGTCTGCAGCCCGCCCCGCGGCGAGCGAGGCACCGCGAGGACCCGGCATGGGCCTCGCAGGATGAGCCTAATGACTACCCAGACATGGTCGCGTCGTAAGGAAATCAGGACGGGCGGTTTTTGGCCAATTTCGGCGTCGGGGGCCCGCGCTGGGCCTCGGGACCGTCAAAAGATGAGTCGGGATGAAAAACCTGTCCCGGCAAGGATCGGGACTTCCAGGGACCCCGCATTGAAAAAATCAGGACGTTGCATGTCTGGGTATCAGACATTGGCGCAGCGTCCTCACCTGCCCCTGGGCCCACCCAAGGCATGTCCTGAACACCTTTTTGTGGTTTGCCCGACGTGTTCTCGGCATGGCTGAGGCAGTCTCGTCTCAACCAACCGGTTGTATGTCCCAATGGAATTGGGCATTATATCGGCTCTTGGAGCACTTTTCGGTTCCCATGACATGTCGTGGTTGTGCTAGGCCTATGGGGGTGCCGGGGCGGTCGGTCCTCATTCAAATGCTGGGGGGGAGGGAGGACTCGGGCTTGCTCCGTGCCCACTTCGGCTCGTCAGCATGGGCGTTGGCAAGTCCGTGGTCCGAGGCCAGTCCAAGCCTGGCATCGCCCTGCTCCGTCCCGCCCAGTCCCGCTCGGCCGATCTGGCTTCGTGCCCCGTCAAGCGGGCTTACAGTCAACGCGCCCAGTAGGGACGCGTGCCTTCATCCAGGGTGCCCTTGAGTCCTTGCCTCTGCGGCCCCTCCGTCGCCGTTTTCACTGGCCGCCCCCCGCCCCGAAAATCCAACCTCGGCCTCCAAGGGTCCTGCGTCCTTACCACCCGTCCTTCATAAACGTCTTGCCTGTACTCGCTCCTCGCTCGCTCCCGCGAAAAACCCTCCCGGGACCTGCCCCGCAGGGCTCGACGGGGGCACGCGCGGCCCCCGCAGGGCCCGCCCGACCCCTCCCCCGCCCGAGCCCCCGGGCGGGCGCAGGGTTGCCTCCGGGGCCGCCCCCGCGCCGCCCGGGGTGAGCGCGGGGCCCCATCGGGCGCTCCGGCGCGGTCCCCCCCCCCAACCCAGGCGGCGCGCGCCGTGGCACTGCTGCTGGTGGGGAGAGAGAGAGAGAGAGAGAGAGAGAGGAAGAGAGGAAGAGGAATAGAGAGAGAGAGAGAGAGGAAGAGAAGTCGACGACGAGGACGACGACGACGACGAGGGCGACGGCGACGGCGACGACGAGGACGACGAGGACCACGACGAATACGACGACGACGACGTGCACGACGACAACGAGGACGACGAGGACGACAAGGACGAGGAGGAGGACGACGACGACGAGGACGATGAGGACAACGATCACGACTAGGAGGAGGACGAACGACGACGAGGACGAAGACGACAACGTCGACGACGAGGACGAGGACGAGGACGCTGACGACGAGGACGACGACGACAAGGACGACGACGGCGACGACGGTGACGACGCCGACGGCCACGGCGACGACGAGGACGCGGATGACGCCGACGACGATGACAAAAAGGACGACGACGATGACGATACGACGACGAGGAGGAGGAGGACGACGACAACGACGACGACGACCGCAAGGACGACGACGACGAGGCCGAGGACGACGACGAGGACGACGAGGATGCTGACGACGACGACGACGAGGATGAGGGTGAGGACGACGACTACGACACGGACAAGGACGACGAGGACGACGACGACGACGACCACGAGGGCGACGAGGACGACGACGACGGCGACGACGACGATGACGAGGACAACGGCTGCGGCGACCACGTTGCCGACGACGACGAGGACGGGAACGACGACGAAGACGACGGCGACGACGAGGACGACGACGACAATGACGAGGCCGACGACGAGGACGACGAGGACGACGACGAGGACGACGACGACGAGGACGGCGACGAGGAGGAGGAGGAGGAGGAGGAGGACGACGACGATGGTGACGGTGGTGACGAGGACGAGGACGACGACGACGACGAGGACAAGAAGGACGACGGCGACGACGACGCCGACGGCGACGGCGACGACGAGAACAAGGACGATGCCGACGACGACGAGGAGGAGGAGGACGACGAGGAGGACGACGAGGACCGCGACGACAAGGACGACAAGGACGACGGCAACGACGACGAGGACGAGGACGACGAGGACAGCGGCGATGACGACGACGGCGACAACGACTTCGACGACGAGGATGATCAGGACGACGACGACGACGACGACGAGAAGGACAACGAGTTCGACAAGCACGAGGACGAGGACGACGTCGACGACGAGGACGACGACGACGTCGACGACGGCCGCGGCGGCGATGGGAGCCACGATAACGACGACGTCGAGTTTGTCGACGACGACGTCGACGAGGGCGACGACGACGAGGACGACGACGACGACGACGAGGACGACAACGACGACGACGACGTCGAAGAGGATGATCAGGACGCCGACGACGATGCTGATGAGGACGACGACAAGGAGGAGGACGATCTAGACGAGGACGATGACGCGGAGGACGACGACGAGGACGACGAGGATGACGACGACGACTACGACGGCGGCGGCGGCGATGGTAGCAACGAGCACGACGACGACGAAGACGCCGACGACAGCACCGACGCGGGCGGCGACGTCGAGGACGATGACGACGCCGACGAGGATGATGATGACGACGACGACGGGGACGACGACGACGACAACGACGACGACGGCGGCGACGGCGACGGCGACGAGGAAGATGAGGAGGACGGCGACGACGCCGACGGCGACGACGACGACGGTGACGACGACGACGAGGAGGAGGAGGAGGGCGACGACGACGACGGCGGCGACGACGAAGACGACGGCGACCGCGACGGCGCCGAGGAGGATGAGGAGGAGGAGGAGGACGACGACGATGGCGACAACGACGACGACGAGGAGTAGGAAGACGACGACGGCGACGGCGGCGACGACGACGACGGCGACGGCGACGAGGAGGATGCGGAGGAGGAGGAGGAGGGCGACGACGACGGCGACGGCGACGACGACGACGGCGACGACGACGAAAACGAGGAATAGGACGACGACGACGGCGACGGCGGCGAAGACGACGACGACCAACGACGGCGACGAGGAGGATGAGGAGGATGAGGAGGACGACGACGACGGCGACGGCGACGACGACGACGACGCGACGACGACGTCGAGGAGTAGGACGACGACGACGGCGACGGCGGCGACGATGACGGCGACGGCGACGGCGACAGCGACGGGATGAGGAGAAGGACGACGACGACGGCGACGGCGACGTCGATGACGACGACGGCGACGGCGACGACGGCGACGACGACGACGAGGAGTAGGACGACGACGACGGCGACGGCGGCGACGACGACGGCGACGACAACGACGATGATGGCCCCGACGACGACAACCAGGACGATGGCGATGGCGGCGACGACGACGGCGACGGCGACGACAACGACGGCGACCGCGACGGCGACGAGGAGGACGACGACAGCGGCGACGGCGACGGCGACGACGACGGCGACGCCGACGGCGACGACGACGGCGACGACGACGGCGACGGCGACCGTGGCGACGGCCCTGCTGCTGCGCTCACGCTTGCGGGCGCCCGCACTCCGCCGCGCGGTCGCGGGCTGACCGCCTGGGCATCCGACGACGACGACGAAGACGACAAAGACGACGGCGACGGCAGCGGTGCCAGCGGTGGCGGGCGTGGGCGTCGCCGTCCCCGTCGCCGTTGTCGTCGCCGCCCGCCGTCGTCGTCGTCGTCGTCGTCGTCGTCGTCGTCGTCGTCGTCGTCCTCGTCGTCGTCGTCGTCGTCGCCGTAGTTGTCGTCGTCGTCGTCGTCGTCGCTGTCGCCGTCGTTGTTGTTGTCGCCGTCGTCGTCGTCGCCGTCGAAGTCGCCGTCGCCGTCGCCTTCGCCGTTGCCGTCGCCGTCGCCGTCGCCGTCGCCGTCGCCGTCGCCGTCCCTGTCGCCGTCGCCGTCGCCGTCGCCGTTGCCGTCGTCGTCGTCGTCGTCGTCGTCGTCGTCGTCGTCGTCGTCGTCGTCGTCGTCGTCGTCGTCGTCGTTGTTGCCGCCGCTGCCGCCGCCGCCGCCGCCTCCGCCGTCGCCGCCGTCGTCGTCGTCGTCGTTCACGTCGCCGTCGTCGTCGTCGTCGCCGGCCTTGCCGAGGCCATGTCGGGCCGCTGCTCGGGCAGTTCGGCGCCGTCGCGGTCGCCGCGATGGGGCTCGTCCGAGCAGGGGCGGCGGTGGCGGCTGCTGCCGGTGCCAGGCCTTGTTCGAGGGATGACGAGGAGGAGTAGGAGGCGAAGAAGGAGGAGGAGAAGGAGCAAGAGGAGGAGGAGGAGGAGGAGGAGGAGGAGGAGGAGGAGGAGGAGGAGGAG